GCACCTTTATTTCCAGAGAGAAAATAGAAGAGTTTTGGACGTCTTTTTTCTTCATGTTGTCTGTTTAGGTGACAGGCTGTACTTGTTTCCTTGTTGCCTGTCAGTACAGCCTGTCTGACTTAAACTTGTTTTCCCCTCACGACTCTTTGTACCTGCCATCGCAATGACAAAGCAACGCGTGAGAGATATCTTTTCTTGTTTCAAGTTTCCCAGAAGTCACCACGAGAGGAATTTAGTGGCGACTTCTGTGGCTTCCAAGCCGTACGACCCCGTGACGCAAAGCTCGGTTTGTCCATAAGATGGTTTTGTTCCCCAGTGAGCGGCAGGGACAAGCAGTGAATGAATGGATGGATGGGCAGCTGCCAGGTGGGGTTCGCCTCTCATCCATCCGTCCTGCTTTGCACAGCGGTCTGTGAAGCAGCCGCAGTGAAGCTCCATGCTGTTCGGCATACAGAATTAGCCTGACTTTTTAATTAGCTCAGACGCCGCTCTCCATAACACACCAATGACCTTTTCAAACAAAGAAAGTTGAGCGTACAGCATCATTTCAGTGCCTTTTAAAAAATAAAGTCTCTCTTGAGAAGTCCAGAAGACCATATGGAGCCCACGGCTGCTGTCAGCTGTTAATCTAGGAGCATTTCTGTAGATTTACATAAAGTGTACCCAAAAAGTTTGGACACTTCAACAAGGATAGTTCAACCAAAAATGGATATTTTGTCAGTATTTACTCACATCATGTTGTTCCAAACCCTTATGACTTTCTGTGGAATACAAATGAAGATATTTAAAAAAATTATCCAGTAAAATGATGTTTTAGGACCTCATGGAGTGGTCAAAAACAGTTTAAATAATTTATTTCTGTAAAAAAGAGTAACATATAAACAGAGATTTGTTAGATATATATATATATATATATATATATATATATATATATATATATATAAACGTGTAATTAATTTTTCTAATTTATTATTTTTAATAAGATGCATATGTATTTATGTACGTAATTTTTCCCCCTTTTTTCTCTGTATTTACAGGCACTCTGCCAGCTGGTGACCACAGCTTTCCGTTCCAGTTTCTCATTCCAGGTAATTTTACAATTAGCATTTCAAAGCCGTTAAAGCGCATTTTCATTCAGAGCAACTTAATGGTAGTCATTAAATGAGGATGTGTTGTGCACCGTAGACGGAGAGCACTCAGATGTGAGGTTAAACTATGCTGAGTGCCTCTGAAGCGTGATGAGAGGGTGGAAGAAGGGTTTAATTTTAACCTTGGTCTAACAGCAGCTGTATAAAGTCTTTTTGTTATGGGCCCGCCCCTTTCTGCACAAACACATGTCCCATCATGAGCTATTAAGGGAAGACATGGCAGCGACATTCCTGGCTGCTTAATTAGTGGCTGCTTGCTAATGCTGACCGTATGAACAGCTATTAAAGATTAACCTCAAAGGATCTGATCGATCTAGGGACTTTCCTTCCTATAAATCAGGAATGCATTTTGACATAAGGCAAACAAATGCGAGGATATAGAGATAAAGCTAGTTAATATCTGTGGGCTGTTTCGGTTGAGTTTCACAGTGGTTTGCTATTATTTATTCATTTTTCAGAGCTCCCGAGTCTTCAGCTTATGTTTTGCTTTTAAAACAGATTCACAGTGACAGCACTTAGAGTTGTATTGATTCACTTTATTGATTTGTGAGCTCTAACATCATCTTGCCATCTACCAATATCCTGGTCCTTGAACGATAATGTTGTTTTGTCAAAGACATGATTATTTTATAAGGTAGCTTGAATAGGAAAGCTTTTGACAAATCCAAAATAACATATTCTTTATGTCTGTTGTAGCATCCGTTCCAACCTCGTTCGAAGGCCCATTTGGGAAGATTTTGTACAAAATTAGGGCATATATTGACACACCACGTTTCTCAAAGGACTACAAGACCCAGCGACCCTTCTACCTTCTCAATGTGCTCAACCTCAATGAGTTGCCAGATGTAGAGGTGAGACTTGCCTATAATTAAAAAAAAATATATATATATATATTATTATTCATATTATACATATTATATTATACTTGCTTTCCAATTCCTAATGTCTGCCCTTCTTTTCCCAGCAACCCAGCTGTGCTGTGACTACAAAAAAGTTTAACTACCTCCTGGTAAAAACAGGAACGCTCATGCTGAAGGCCTGCAGTGATCTAAGAGGATACACTCCCGGACAGGTTATCAAACTATCCACTGAGATCCATAACAAGTCTGGGAAAGACACTGGCTATGTGATGGCCAGCCTTATTCAGGTGAGAAGAAAATAAAAAAAGAGACTCCGCTGATATTTAGATTCCTAAAAATACATTTCTGCAGCACTGTGGTTGACAATAGGTGATGTACTTGTAGATGTAAATAGTCAGAAAATGCAACTCATTACAACTGTGTATATCTGTGCAGAGAGTGTCGTATAAAACAAAGCGGCCAGTGTTTGATCTGCGGCCCATAGCAGAGGTCGAGGGTGCCGGGGTGAAGGCTGGTAAACATGCAGAGTGGAGAGAACAGATCATCGTCCCTCCTCTTCCTCAATCAGGCCTCACTGGCTGCAGCCTCATAGATATTGAGTATTTTATCCAGGTATGGGACAGGAAATCTGAACCTTACCATTACATGAGGTAAAAACCTTCTTTTGTGAACTGAATCAACCAATTAATTTAAAATATCAGTTGAATAGAGAAATGAATCCATCTGATTCATAAAAGAATCATTCCAGTTGGTGAATCAGATCAACTAATTCATTGAAAAGATCTGAAAAAGACACTGGCTATGTGATGGCCAGCCTTATTCAGGTGAGAAGAAAATAAAAAAAGAGACTCCGCTGATATTTAGATTCCTAAAAATACATTTCTGCAGCACTGTGGTTGACAATAGGTGATGTACTTGTAGATGTAAATAGTCAGAAAATGCAACTCATTACAACTGTGTATATCTGTGCAGAGAGTGTCGTATAAAACAAAGCGGCCAGTGTTTGATCTACGGCCCATAGCAGAGGTCGAGGGTGCCGGGGTGAAGGCTGGTAAACATGCAGAGTGGAGAGAACAGATCATCGTCCCTCCTCTTCCTCAATCAGGCCTCACTGGCTGCAGCCTCATAGATATTGAGTATTTTATCCAGGTATGGGACAGGAAATCTGAACCTTACCATTACATGAGGTAAAAACCTTCTTTTGTGAACTGAATCAACCAATTAATTAAAAATATCAGTTGAATAGAGAAATGAATCCATCTGATTCATAAAAGAATCATTCCAGTTGGTGAATCAGATCAACTAATTCATTGAAAAGATCTGACTTAGTGAGTTGAATTCAAGTCAAGAGAGCTTTCTTGACATTCTGCTGTATGTGGAAACATTCAAAGGAATTAAATGTTGTACCTCACAGGATCGACCAATGCACTGAAAAGATAGAACTTGAAAACCAAATAAGTGTGACTCATTAAAATAATCATTCAGATCATTTTTTTCTGAACAGGACTGACCAATGCATTGAAAAAAATAAAATTATGTGAACAGATTTTGAAAACTGAGTAAGTTGATTCATTAAAGGGGTGGTTCAGTGGTTTTTTTTTTGTTGGCTTGATTGTGTTTATGGGATGCAGTCTAACATGTGTTTTTTTAAAAATATAATTTACCTTTATTCCACACCGCTCTGTCCCTTCTCTGGGAAATCCGCTGATCATTTCCTTCTTTTATGAAGCCCCTCCCTCAGAAATAGGCAATGGGCTCTGATTGGTTAGCTAGCCCAGTGTGTTGTGATTGGCTAAACCGCCTCTACGGTGTGTCTAAGCATCCCGCCCCTCACCTCAGCGGCATGTGCTACGGTTGTATTGTAAACAACGGCGTCGTTAATATCGCTTATCATTTTGAGCCCGATTGAGAAGCAAAGGATATTATTGAAGAGGATCGTGCAGAACCTGTGCAAGCATGGCTTTTAATGGTAGGCCTATGTTTTTTGTTTGTTGTTGTCTCATACTTTTATATACGCTGTTATTTATAAATGCTACTGCTTATGTTAGCTTTTAATATACGGTTTTATCCTGATTAAAGCTTTAATACAGTATGGCAACTGCACGCGCATCCATGTTTAACGCTTCTCATAGCTATGTGAAAATAAGTGTATAATTGTAACAGTTCATTGTTGGCGCTGAGCTGAATGAGAGAGAGAGAGAGAGAGAGATGCAGAGCAGGGGACGCAAGGAAAAGTATTAAGAACTGCTGCTTTAGAACATTGATTTTGAAACTTGTGAATCCATTAGAATCGTTAGAAGACAGAATCACGATTCATATATGAATAGATTTTTACGTGCAGCTCTAGTTTTCTCTTCCTCTTCTCTAAAGCAGCGCAGCATGGCCTCGCCCCCTTTGCTGCCTTTTCCCGAGGGTGGGGTTTATCTGGGTTTGTTACATCACGAACCCAGGAAGTAACTTATTGTAGTCCCTACCAGCCCTTTTTTGTAGGCATTAAACTGCCAGAATTTTAAAAGACAAAATCTGTTTGCATTGATCTTTCAGCTTTGTAACTTTGCAGATATTGTTTATGCTAATGTTGCGTCAGCAACATTACACACTAACTAACGTTAAAAAAGTGAAATCGCAATGAACCACCCCTTTAAAGAATCATTCAGAGCAGTTTTGTGAACTGGATCAACTAATTTGTTGAAAATATCTGACTCAGTGAGTTGAATTCAAGAACTGAATCAGTCTGATTAATGAAAAAATCATTCGGAACACTTTTGTGACCTGAATCAACCAGTTCATTGAAAATATCTAGTTCAGTGTGTTGAATTCAAGAACCAAATCAGTCTAACTCATGAAAGAATCATTCAGAGTAGTTTTGTGAACAGGATCAACCAATTAATAAAAAAAAAAAACTGAACTCAATGAGTTCATTTCAAAAACTGATTCAGTCTGATTCATGAATTAATCATTCAGAGCAGAGAAATCTGAACCTTACCATTACATGAGGTAAAAACCTTCTTTTGTGAACTGAATCAACCAATTAATTAAAAATATCAGTTGAATAGAGAAATGAATCCATCTGATTCATAAAAGAATCATTCCAGTTGGTGAATCAGATCAACTAATTCATTGAAAAGATCTGACTTAGTGAGTTGAATTCAAGTCAAGAGAGCTTTCTTGACATTCTGCTGTATGTGGAAACATTCAAAGGAATTAAATGTTGTACCTCACAGGATCGACCAATGCACTGAAAAGATAGAACTTGAAAACCAAATAAGTGTGACTCATTAAAATAATCATTCAGATCATTTTTTTCTGAACAGGACTGACCAATGCATTGAAAAAAATAAAATTATGTGAACAGATTTTGAAAACTGAGTAAGTTGATTCATTAAAGGGGTGGTTCAGTGGTTTTTTTTTTGTTGGCTTGATTGTGTTTATGGGATGCAGTCTAACATGTGTTTTTTTAAAAATATAATTTACCTTTATTCCACACCGCTCTGTCCCTTCTCTGGGAAATCCGCTGATCATTTCCTTCTTTTATGAAGCCCCTCCCTCAGAAATAGGCAATGGGCTCTGATTGGTTAGCTAGCCCAGTGTGTTGTGATTGGCTAAACCGCCTCTACGGTGTGTCTAAGCATCCCGCCCCTCACCTCAGCGGCATGTGCTACGGTTGTATTGTAAACAACGGCGTCGTTAATATCGCTTATCATTTTGAGCCCGATTGAGAAGCAAAGGATATTATTGAAGAGGATCGTGCAGAACCTGTGCAAGCATGGCTTTTAATGGTAGGCCTATGTTTTTTGTTTGTTGTTGTCTCATACTTTTAAATACGCTGTTATTTATAAATGCTACTGCTTATGTTAGCTTTTAATATACGGTTTTATCCTGATTAAAGCTTTAATACAGTATGGCAACTGCACGCGCATCCATGTTTAACGCTTCTCATAGCTATGTGAAAATAAGTGTATAATTGTAACAGTTCATTGTTGGCGCTGAGCTGAATGAGAGAGAGAGAGAGAGAGAGATGCAGAGCAGGGGACGCAAGGAAAAGTATTAAGAACTGCTGCTTTAGAACATTGATTTTGAAACTTGTGAATCCATTAGAATCGTTAGAAGACAGAATCACGATTCATATATGAATAGATTTTTACGTGCAGCTCTAGTTTTCTCTTCCTCTTCTCTAAAGCAGCGCAGCATGGCCTCGCCCCCTTTGCTGCCTTTTCCCGAGGGTGGGGTTTATCTGGGTTTGTTACATCACGAACCCAGGAAGTAACTTATTGTAGTCCCTACCAGCCCTTTTTTGTAGGCATTAAACTGCCAGAATTTTAAAAGACAAAATCTGTTTGCATTGATCTTTCAGCTTTGTAACTTTGCAGATATTGTTTATGCTAATGTTGCGTCAGCAACATTACACACTAACTAACGTTAAAAAAGTGAAATCGCAATGAACCACCCCTTTAAAGAATCATTCAGAGCAGTTTTGTGAACTGGATCAACTAATTTGTTGAAAATATCTGACTCAGTGAGTTGAATTCAAGAACTGAATCAGTCTGATTAATGAAAAAATCATTCGGAACACTTTTGTGACCTGAATCAACCAGTTCATTGAAAATATCTAGTTCAGTGTGTTGAATTCAAGAACCAAATCAGTCTAACTCATGAAAGAATCATTCAGAGTAGTTTTGTGAACAGGATCAACCAATTAATAAAAAAAAAAAACTGAACTCAATGAGTTCATTTCAAAAACTGATTCAGTCTGATTCATGAATTAATCATTCAGAGCAGAATTTTTGATGAACCAGTTCATAGAAAAGATTGGACTCACTTTTATTTTTGACTAACCAAATCAGTCTGATTCATGAACAAAACAGTTTTGTCAACGGATCTACTGATTCATTGTAAAGATCCAACTCAAAAGAATGATTTGTTCACAAATCTCATGAACGTGTGATTTTTATTTTTGCATGAACTATTCTTTGTAGGTCTTTTCTTGGATGCACTGCTGAAGTCTTTCAAATTAAGATTTATCTAGAAATATAGCTTCATGTCATGAAGTGCATCTCCTTCTCACAGGTTTCACTAAAATCTCCTGAGGCTGTGGTCACGTTACCCATCTACATTGGGAACATTGCTGTAAACTTAACTCCCTCCATTCCTCAACCCATCGCCCAAGGCGCACCAGTGCTTGCCATGCCAAGCCTCAGCCCTGCGCCCGTAGTCCCCAGCGCACCTCCTGCAGAGGACGACCTGGAGGGTGAGCTGGGTGCAGGAGGAGTAGACAGCGAGGAGATCCCCACCAAGAGTCATTCTCAGCAGGACCCGTCCGGCATTCCTCTCTCCATGTCTCCCAGCGTGTTCGGTCAAGCGTCCGGTCCACTCCCGACGCAGAGCCAGCAGCTCGCCCAATCCTCCGCCGGCTCTGCTCCTCTGTTCTGTCTGTCTACAGGGGCCACCATACCTTTCTTCACAGATGGTAATACAACGCCAGTGCCCACTTCCTGTCCCCTCATCCTGCCCCCTGAATACAGCACCTGGGAATACCCACATGGTGAGTGATCTAGTTGAGAATTAGTAGTCTGTACAGGTTTGTGTCTGGGTGGTTACCCTCGTTCTCCAAAAAGTCTTGCAGGATTCACATGCAGTATGTTTATTCACTAGTTGATGGGTCAGTGTTTATATTATGTAAATGGCTAGTGCAAAGCTTTAGAACTACAAAGCAAAAAACTCTAGCTCATACTGTAGGTCATAAACTCTTTATAAAATAATGTGTAGTTGCATAAAAATTTGCTTCTTTTTAATTCAATTAGCAGCATTCAAATTTGTAAACTCAGTGTTGAAAGGACAAATACGTCAGTTTATCTGGTTACAGTTGATGTTTCAAAATTATTTTTCTCATGAAACTGGTAACAGTTAAAAGTTGATGTGTAAATAACCATGAAGTTTATTAAAGTAATATTTATATTTATAAATTATCTTTTTAAAAGTGTATTGAAATATGTAGATATTTTATATAGAGTTATTTATATACCAAATTAGTCAAATTTTTTTCTCAGATTTATTTATTTATTGTAATTTTTGGATTATTTATATTTATTGAATGTTGAATCGATGTATGCATGTGACGCAATAAACATAAATACAACAACAACACTGAAATATGTAAATAATAAATCTCGGAACTGTATCTAAGATTAATACAACAAGCTGGAAAATTTGACATTTATCTGTCTGTTTGTCTGTCTGTCTTTCAATTGTTAATTCTATCATTCTATTGTTCGGTCAATCTATCTATATTATATGTTTAAAACAGTAAAACACTTGCATGCGAGTAACTCACGTATAGTTCAGATCAGTTTTGCTTGAAAAGCATTGATACTTATAATGTTCACTTCCCTAAAATGTAATCAACATCATCATCTACAGTAAAATATCAAAACGGTGTTGTAATCCAATCGGTTTGCCATTTTATTCTAGACGTTACTTCTGATAGGAGGCTTTTGTTAATATTTAGTTTATGTATGGGGTTACATTTCAGCAAAGGTTAAAGTTACAACCATCAAATAATTAAGAGTGCGCAACAAGCTGTAACTTGTCGCTATGTCTAGTGTAAGTGCACATTAAATAATTTAAACTATTCGATGCTGATCCAAAGCATCATTTAGTGGCAGAACTAATCGACTAGTCAGTGAAACCCTAACCTCGGTAGCAGCAAATGTGAATCTTGTATTTTTATAAAAGAGGTTTGCTATCTAGATAAGACCCTGTCACAGTGTGAATGTAACTGATTATGTACTCAAATTAAATGCAGATTTATTGAAATTTGTTTGTTTTTTCACTCTTTTCAGAGCCACCCCCCACTTATGAGGAAAGCTGCAGTAGCAACAACTCCAGCTTCAACAGTAGCATGAGGTAGACCCATTTGAGGGCTCGCTTCTTCATCATGCCATTCATCTGCTGCCTCCTGCTGGACGGTACAGGCATTGCTACCAGCCCATAAACCTGGCCCTTCTTCTCCATGAGCCAAATATGTTTAAAACATATAAAGGATTGTTTCCTTAATTTTTAGTTAATACACTCAGATTACCGTTTCAACATTGAAGAAAACAAGCTTGAAACTGTACAGGGAGAATGTTTCAGTGCCTAAGAACTTAAGATGTAGCACTCTTGAGCATCCCCAAGATGAGACACACTCAGAGTTCTTGCGAAACGAATACCAGCATCTGTAACATTATGAAGTGAAAGTTACACTGAAAATACTTTTTCATTCAACCAAGGCTGGCCTTATGTAAATCTTATCACAAAGCATGCTCTGTAAAATCTGACTTATCGCAGAAAGATAATTCTGCTTGACTGCAAGTCTTGTTGAGGAAAAAATATTCCTTTCCTTGTGACGTTCATTATGAATTATAAGGCACTCCATGCTTATGCCAGCAGGAATGGCTCTTGACGGAGACACTGGGCCACAGAGAACGTTACTCTGGAAAGAACAGGTCTTATTTATTGATCATGATTGATGTTGGAAGTTTTCATTTGACTTTTTAAAATCCATCTCATCACCAAATGGATACAGTGTGGATACAGCTTTGGAATATCACATACATAAGTCATTATCACTTGGCCAAATGGTAGTCAGTGTCCCTTGAATGGTTAAGGGAGCAACACATTACATATCATTTTAAAATGAAAACTAGTTAGAAGTTCATTTTGTTTTACAGGCTGTCAAGATTTTAGGATGACACTTCGGACTCCTGACTCTGTATTTTTGTTGCCTTATTTTACATAAAACAAAGCAAAATAATCGGATTTTTCTTTTCTGGGGTTCATTGTTTCACCCTAGAATTATTATTTCAAAGAACTGTCATTCAGAGTGTGATAGATTTTTTTTTTTTTTTCAGACTGCGTAATATCAGTGCTGGTAATATGTTAGAGTTTGGACATTTCTGATATGCATCATTTGAAATCTGATTCGAACTGTACATGCCTTTGTACGTGACTTGTTTGGTCTTATGCATTGATATTTCTCATACTAACCCACAGCGATTGGAGATTTATGATAGATTTCCGGTGAGGCCTTAGGCTGTACTTGGATTGTTGTGTACAGTCCTTTAATATGGCAAACACTTTTTTCCAAAACACTTGTCCAGACCCTTGAACTGTTGAAGAAATTGAAAAATTGAAGCACAAAAGGCACTTTTTTATATATATATGTGTGTGTGTGTGTGTGTGTGTGTGAATGTCTGTGTTTTAAGAATATTTTCTCAATTCCTTCTCCAAAATCTAAATGATCAATTTCCATTTTTAGTTCAGTGTTGTACTAAGTTTAGTACTTGATTCAGTCAGCAAAGGAAGTGCGATTCAGAACAGACCACCTATATCATGTTTTACATAATTTTGTATGAAGCAAATTTAGAATACGTTTTCAGTACTAAATCCTGTGATGTTCTATATCTTTTCCATCTGTCTGTAAGTATTTGTTTAAAATTTATGTTGCACTATGTACCATTTACAGTGCTGACAGAAAAATAATTTGGGTCATTCTACAAAAAGGGTGCCATTTGAGCCTTTATACAGTATATAAAAAATTAACAGTGAAAAGGTGATACATTCATGTGCTAATATGTATATTTCTTAAAAGGAATTAACAAAAATCCAGTAGCTTTATTTTATTTTCATTAAGAGGGTTGATTTTCTGCCCTGTGTACTTTTTGATGAAAACAAAAAAATAGAGACATAAAAGCTAGCATTTATTCTCTGTCTACATATTTTTGATTTTATTGGACATAAAAAGGATTTATTGTGCAAAGGTTATGTGTTCACACTGTTTGCATCATATTTCCCCCTTTGAACGAACTGAACTATTCCATAACGCAGAAAAAACTGTCATAACAACATTATAATATTTTCAGAATGCAAACACTTTAAGGAAAAGTCTATGCTTTTTTTTTTTTTTAAATCACTTTATCTTATATGTGACCCTGGACCACAAACCAAGTCTTAAGTCGCTGGGGTATATTTGTAGCAATAGCCAAAAAAAAACATTGTATGGGTCAAAATTATTGATTTTTCTTTTATGCCAAAAATCATTAAGATATAATGTAAAGATCATGTTCCTACTGTAGGAATATATCAAATTTCATACTGTAAATATATCAAAACTTAATTTTTGAATAGTAATATGCATTGCTAAGAACTTCATTTGGACAGCTTTAAAGGCGATTTTCTCACTATTTTGATTATTTTTGCACCCTCAGATTCCAGATTTTGAAATAGTTGCATCTCAGCCAAATATTGTCCTATCCTAACAAACCATACATCAATAGAAAGCTTATTTATTCAGATTCAGATTTATACATCATTCAGATGATGTATAAATCTCAATTTTAAAAAAAATTGACCCTTATGACTGTTTTTGTGGTCCAGGGTCACATATTTTGTTCCAATTGTCAGCAGGGTAAATTGGCAGTCTGATTGTGATTGATTGTGGAATTTGTATTTTAAAAAAATGTATATTTGTAGCATGAAATGGATCAATGCAATTTACTAACAGTTAAACATTATACAACAGATAGAATGTTTAAAGTCTTTCAAAAATGTACTTTTGAATCATCTTGTTAGACTGCAGAAGCTACAGATTATATAGAATGACCCATTCATATTCATATCAAGGGATCTTGACTTTGCTGATTGTATCGCAGGAGGCCACTGTGACTTCTAACAGTGCAGCTACATTTCAGATTGTTTCTTCACTGTGAGCAGCACTATGTTAAAATTGCACAAATGTTAAGAACATTCAAACAAAAATAAGAAATTTTAAACTGATTTATTGGAATTTGTTCATGTTTATCATCAAAATCCAGTAAAGAAACCCCTGACTTGAACACCTATTCTGTATTTTAAACCACGTTTTGCCTTAAATGTGAATCTGATGTGTCCCTGGTCCCATCGTAATTGTTAAAAGACAAATACTTTGAGATAACATTGCATCGCTTTTACTGTTCTCTACATTTGCCTCTCAAAAGGGATATTACAGTTATTTTAGCACCGCAGGTGAAAGAAATGATTAAAATGTGCAAGTCCTCCATTTTTGCAAATGCTGACATTGCAGTATGGACAAACACTTAGTCATTTTTTATTTACATGTGCTATGTTCCATCTTTTCCTTTTCACCAAAGGTTCAACATGCAGCTTTATCAAGTTTCATTTTATCATTGTGTGATACTTTCCTTTCCCTTGATTTTCCAGCAGGTTTTGAAATAAAGTAGCATGATTGTGGATCAGTGTAAAGTGTCTATGTAAAGATGTGACAGAATTAAACTGGTACAGAAAATAAAATCACTTAAATTCTCAGGCCTTCCCCAAGATGTTGCTCATTTAAATTTCAAATTTTTAAAATTACTTGCGCTTACTTACTCATAAAAAGTGATTAAAATGCATGGAAGTATTTCTTTGCTCACGTATCAGTTCAGTGTGAAATCAGAATTGATCCTATTTACTTTCTTAAAAGAATAGTTCACCCAAAAATTTAAATCTGCACAAAATGACTCATAATTTAGCCAGAAGCAACGGTTAAAGGAAGCAAATTTTTAAAAAGCCTTGATGGATTTGTTTCTTACAAACACACAGCTATTCACTTCACACAGTATTAATTGATGGACTGGATTCGTGTGGATTATTGTGATGTTTCTATCAGCTGTTTGGACTCTCATTCTGACGGCACCCATTCACTGCAGAGGATCCATTGTTGAGCAAGTGATGTAATGCTAAATTTCTTCAAATATGTTCCAGTGAAGAAACAAACTCGTCTACATCTTGGATGGCTTGAGGGTGAATACAGTATCAGCAAATTTTACATTTTGGGTGAAGTTTTCCTTTAATATATTTTGATGGGTAATTGATAAAAAAAAAATAGAGATGTGTCCTTGAAACAGTCATTTTAAATTATACAGTGACAAAAATCACATTATGTAATGGTTATGAAACAGTTGTATCACATTATGTTGCTCTGTAGTCCCAAATAAATTCACCTAAATAAACATAATTTAGATTGATTGCCTGTTTTCAATGATTCTCACTCGTTACACAGTTTTCTGGATGGCAACGCAAGGAAATAGGGGTTAGAAGATCAAGGCGTCCAGCTTACCTCCAGCACTGCCTGCTGTCTCTTCCCTGTTGCCATAGAAACTGATCCCAATCCATCATAATCACAGTGCCACATAAGGACATGGACAATGGTGTGTAGTCAGCATGGATGGTAGACACTCTGAAAGCCAGAGAAAGATGGAGTGACGAACCCAGAAATGTGCATGGAGAATATTAATGGGCGGTCAGAAATAAATTACTTCCCTGCTAAGTAAAATGCCTACGGAGGTTTTGTGATCTCGTTGTCAGAGAGGTTTTCAGCTCGGCCAGGCTGGGAGACCAGCTTAAACCCGACTGGTTTTAAAATTGTATGGTTAGACGCATTACAAAAAAATTGTTCAAAGCCCTCTATTCTTTCCAGATGATAAAAGAACATGAGCAAACGTTAGCACTGTCCGATTCAGGAATGAATTGATCGTTTGAATCGAATCTTTTCAAAGAATCGTTTCATCTAGCCTATTTGACAAAACTGGTGTGAACAATTCGTTTACGATTCGGACTGAATCGGTCCAACTCAGTGCTGACTCACTGAACCGAGAACCCTCTCTTTCGGACGTGTCGGATTCGCAATGAGTCGAGAACAGATGAGTGAGCTGATATTTGAAGTGAACCGATGGTTTGACTGACGAGGGAAAAATTACCTTAAAACATATGTTTTACAAATGAAACATAGCCTACTGGAAACATGAGTTTATTCGACATTATTATATTTTCAGCCAAGAAATGTTGAACTAAAAACTACAAGCTTGCTGCTGCATGTAGATGGCGTAATTACATAGTGGAATAAAAAGACTCATGAATCAGTGTATTTGAACCTGTTCTGTGAAACCGTTTAAACGAACCGATTCTCAGAAAGGAGTTGGACTTCACTACTCCACACAGCTGAAAGAAAGTGAATCCGTGACGTAAGCATGAGGGGGCGGGGTCTCGGGGTGAGGAGCCATGGCTTCAATGAAAACTGAGGTAAGAGCAGAGCAACGATTCGTGTAACTTTGTTTATCTGTGTAATCATGCTGGTTTGGTCGGTTTGACTCTGATTGACAACCCGTTTGAGGCATACTGAGCGGCCGGTTGAAGGTTTGAGTGGCCATCCCGGGCAGGTTTCCTCACGGGTCTTTCAGAGCCCGCCTGACTGTCTGTTTCAGTGTGAAAACTCGGTGCTTTTGTGCGAGTGAGTGCTCGTGAAGCTTTGTGAAGGGAAATAATGAGGCGGCCTCCCCCTTTTGCGGTGCGGCTGCTGTTGCCTGGAAACCTGAATTCAGTTTGCCTGTGCTCTTTGTACACGGCAAGGTGATTGTTGTTATGCTAGTTCCAGGGCACTATCCGGCTTCAGATGCTGCTGTGTTGCTATTGTAAATACAGCGGCAGTGCATATTGTTATATTATTGTACCTCATCCACAAACGCTTCCCTTCGTACCTCAGCCAAGCACCCCGCGGCATTTCCCTTTTGTTTAGGAATATTTGAGTAAAATCAGTAGTATATGCAGCTTCTTTCATGCAGGAAGCTGTAGCTAAGAGCTACTTGGTGCTAAAGCACTTGTCAGCATTAGTGCTGTGTGGTTAAAATGAAGTGACATTGGTTTCATGTAAGGATTTTAGATATGCGTTTGCTCTTTGGAGAGTTGTTATGACTCTAGGTAAAGTTCCCTAGGGAATCCGTTTGGAATTTCTGTAATAATCTTGACTACCCTAAAGACCCTTATGTAATTTTATGTCAAGATTCAAACTTAAAAAAATATTAATAAGAATTAGTTCCAAATTATGATCGAAATTACAAATAAAATCCTGTAGGCTATACGTCCCTTAAAGATTTTTTTGACAGGAGCCACCCTGTTAAGTCATATTCATAGAAAGAGGCATTCAGGAATGTTTTAGTCTTTTTTTGCATGACTCCGATATTTAGTATATTGGATGAAACTGAATTGCAGTTTTATTACTGACAGCCATGTCTGCAGGTTGTTTAGGTGCTCGCTATATGAAGTACTATGAGGAAATAAAACACGTTACCACGTTTATCCATTGGAGAGAACTTGCACTTGTTCACCGACAGGGGGAGCCCTGTGATTGGGTCTTTTCAACGGTTTCAAGTGTCTCTTGTAGGAAAGACGGAATGAGAAAACCTGTAGGCTATAAAGGTGCATGACAGCATGGTCTTTAATGCAAGCCTTTGTTGGAGGAATGTTCTGTAGGAGACATCAAGCAGAAGTGCGAGTTAAAAGTTTCTCATTGGAGTGTTCTTGCGTTGAATGTTTTTAATTAAGATAACAAAAAAGATGAAGCCGTCCTTTAGTGTGGAAGTTTCAGGTAGATATCTGAGTTTTCACTGCATCCAGTGATTGAGTCAAGCTGACGTTGTTTCTAAATGTTTTTATGTCTTGTGAAACGGATCTACATGGGTGTCTTTGGCTTAAAGTCAAGGAAGTGGGCATGGGGAAGAATTTTCAGTGGAAAATGTTGTTTGGCTAGGCTGAAACCTCATGAGAAGGGGCGGCAATCTTTAGACACTTAACAATTTGATTTTCAATTAAAGGGATGGTTCACCCAAAAGTGAAAGTTCTGTCATCGTTTGTTTTGTCCATAAAATGAAAGTCAGTGGGGTATACTGATGTTTTGCCCTCAACATTCTTTAAAATATCTTCTTCTGAGTTCAACAGAACACAGAAAGTCATACAGGTTTGGAACAACATGATGATGACACACTTTCTTTTTTTGGGGAACTATCACTTTGAGGTGGTTGCAATGTTCTGTAATTGTGTGATTAAATGTATTGTGTATAGACATAGTGGGCCTCATTTATAAATCTAACGTAGA